TGAATTAAATATCAATTATCACTCCTACCTTCAGTTTTTCTTCTCTGATAGCCGTGATTGCACGTTGAATGCCCGGCGGTCGAACTTGCTTTACTTCATTTATTGAAATATCGCTAGGCAATAAGCCCTGAAGCAGCATCTCTGGTGGTTGCTGAAGTAATGCCATAACATTTCTCAGTTGTGCATTTGACCATTCCGATAGATGATAATCAGCGCCATATATCCCACAGATAAACGGTAGGTATACTTCCAGTGGGAGGTATCGTCCACAATTGATGATATAAGCTAAATTGACTTTAATTAAAACAAATCAAATGCCTAATAGGTGATGGAAATCTGTGGTGGAATTCCGTGGTGATATGTGTGAACGTATTGCGCAGCTCGAAGATTGTTTGTTAACACGAACTAATGATTTTAATTAATTTAGAAATCAAATACGGCTCAGCTCACGAGAAGTGTACCCTACGAGATGGAAGACGAACCGTTCATGATCAAATATTCTACGCGCTTTAATCGATCCGATAGCCGAGTTGCAAATATTTCTTGCAGAATAGAATCTATCGGAGGAATTTGGTGTGTTTCGTCGTCCTTCTGAAAATCTCCGCCGTTTTTATATTTTTAATCTTTGGTGAATTTTTTTGTACGATATAAAAATACTCGCTTACTTTCACAGAATGAGTAACTGCCACAAAGGCGGAGTTTTCTTGGGATGAGATTTGGAAAGTGGAATTTCCCGGAGATGAATTGTCCTCTGCGATTTTAGGCGCGGTTGCACACTCATTTACGTTTAACATCGTTTCCTCATTGTTATATGTCGGCGTTACTTTTTCTGAAATAGCGTCATGACGTTACCGTACCATTTGCTCACATTCGAGAACTGAAAAACGAATAACTTGCCTGCTTCTCCTATCTTTTCTTCTTTCACAATACTCAGTTCAGGACTTCCTGTAAATATATTATTACCATCTGATAATTGATATTGGAATGATTTCAATTTAGAAGACAAATTTAATAGTAAAATTGATGAACCGATGAACTTGCCAGTTAGATTTCGCCTCTTTTTGTTTATAACGCGCAAATAGTCTTCTTCAGTGCTGTCGTGATTTTTATGTTCTTTGTGGAAAGACGAAATCCGAAGACAGCCATTGGTTGTGTCAGAATTTAAACGAAATCTCGCTTGGCAACCTAATGGAAGGTAACTCTGATTTGGACGTTTACCGCCTCCTGAAAGAATGAATTGTGAAATTTTTGCCTCGCTCGTACAAAACAAATTCGAGAGTGTCTAACAGCTGATCAGATTCGGTACCGGGAATAATGGCGGCTTACAGTTCATTAGCGAAATTGAATGAGAGAGATACATTTACACCTTTTGACCGAACACTTTATGAGATTCATAAAGTCTAAATAACAAACAATCAATTGTTCCAGGCAACTTTTTTAATAATGTCATAGGCTAATTTATTTTTCTGTTTTTGTTGTTTTACTTTAAGACATTTTATCCTCCTTTTCTATCAAGACAAATAAAGCTGTAGCGTATAATGTTACGTACAATGTTGCCTCGTGTTTTTTGGACATAAGGCTTATATAATTTATGCCTCTCTTACCCATCATTTCTTGATTATGTTAAATTCATAAAGTAGCAATTAACATGCCTGTATCTCTATAGAAATGGGAATAGAGTATGATTTTATTATTAAAATTAACTATTTGTATGCTGAATAAGATAATTTTAATTTTAGATTAATTACTGCTGTTATGAAAAAGCTGTGACAGTGATTTGACCGAGTGGATGGCACGGAGACAAACTATCAGTTAACTTTGACTTATTCTTGAGATTTGCTATGTTATTGGGGCTTTTTTGTGCCATTAGAAAATGCATCTCCGATTGCGTGTTTTGAATGTGATTGCTGTCATTTATTATTATTTCGTGATTTCAGAAAGGCTGGCTGGTTGGATCCCTTAAAATTACCCTCCCCAATACCAGCAATCTCCACCACATTAAGGCAGCAGCTGGCGAACAGAATTTCTGTGTTTCGGAGACCGCGGCTGCTTCCATTGCTGCTCATAATTTAATGCTTTAAAATGGTCAAAGTGAACAATCGCAATATAAAAAAAATTTTGTTTTTTTTCTCTCCCTAAATGACCTCGTAAATACGTCGGAGGAAAGGAAGCGATAATTACCGATTTCATCATTTACTATTTCTTTTTGCCAAATCTGTTCGAAAATCGTTTTAGGAATAATTTCGAAGAATTTTTTCTTAAATTCTTACTTCTTAAAGATTTCAGTTCAAAGTTATTCAGGAGTGAAACGTTCTTTCAATAAGATATAAAATTATGCGTTACTTCACATTTTAATAAGCTTTAATATGCTTTCATGTCAGAAAAGGATAGTTTAGGGAACTGATTTTCTTACTTTTCAATAAAAATATTTAAAGTGCAAGCAACAGCGTCAGTCCATAACTTTGTTGAATGCAATTTATTTGCCTAAAATGATAATTTCCACTTCACAGCTGATATTAATTAGTACAGACGCGATAATGTTTCATTTCCGAAGCTGTTCAATGTGATGGTTACAGCTTAGCATTGTGACCAATGGCTAGCAGTTGGAGCGACATATGGAGTTAGCAAGCCGGCTGGTGGAAGGTTAATGGCTAACCCGTAAACAAATCATCCATCAACCGCAACAGCTTTCTTGGATTAATATCCAATTCTCTCCCACTCTCTTATTCCTTCTTAACTGAACAAATAAATGACATTTAAAGACTGAGAACGAGTAAAGGCTGAAACATGTAAAGTGCAATAAAACTTATCCTAGGCTTCTCCTCATCTTTTGGTAGTTGCTGTCAGGCCATGAAAAATAAGGGCCAATAGAATCGATAGAACAAGACAAAAAGATCATTGGAGATAGAAAGTTACACTTATTGAAAACTTCATTCATTAACAATTATTTAATGAATGAATTCAGAATTTAACTAAGGTTGAATTCTTTCACAATTAAGCATTTCAAATCAGCCAAAGAAAATCTGTTCTCGCCCATTTCCAACTTTTATTTCTCCCAACAAATCAGCCGGCTATTTAGCAATTGCGCAATTGTCCGCGACAATCGCAAGTGCGTCAATTTAGTACAAAAATCAGTAATGACGTATTATCTTTGAAAATCGGAAAATGTCATATCAGTCGTTTAGTATAACACATTGACATATTAAATAACAGACCATAATTATTAACTAATAACAGTAAACAAAGAATTCATCTCCGAAATTGAATCAAAAGATTTTCAGTTTTCAAAAAGTTACTACGGAGAGCAAGTAAAAAAACGTGACCTCTTTTACGTGGAAGCCCATAGTGAGCGCAGTGAAACACTACATATTTATATTTGAAACGGTTAATTATACGTCCTTCGCCATCTCGGAGATGTTCAGAACTGGCTCTCCTGTACGGATAATTCCATACAATTTTGTAGGCTTCCAAATATTCTTCGAATTCATCAAAGCTGAAAAACAGCCATCATTTTCGGTGAAAATACTAATATTTCAGTGTTTTTGTTTTATTCTTAAAGGAAGGATAAACGATACCTTTGAAATGTGGCACCTTCGTAAATCTTCGAAGCCTTACGCCGAAGTTCTTCTTGTTCCGCTGGCGTAAATGTCGAGAATGTTCGGTTGCCGTATCGTTGATTGGTGTTTGGTAATTCCGATTCAATGCAATTTCGTTTGGCACTTGAAGGGGCTGAAATATTTTTAATCAAAATAAAGGAAAGGAAACATGGAAATCTCCTTGAAGTATCACCAACGGATCATTAAGCTCTCACCATTTTCTGGAATCTCGACCTTCTCATCGTTTCGCTTATCAGACCTTTCCTCGCGGTGCTGTCCATTT